ATATATATATATATAAAACTATGATTCAGCCATTCTCTACAAGTACCGATTTCCTGCACTGTACGTTGACCTGCTAAGGGCAGCAAAGTACATCAGTATTAAAAATGTGTATACTTTTTTTCTTACAGATCTTGGCCGACTGGACACTGATAGAATTATTTAAACGATTATTAAAAAAATTAATAAAAAAAATCTGAATGAAGTATTGTTTTTATTATTTTTCGCTGACACCTGCCTGTTTAAACCTGTGTTAAAGTTCTACATACACACATATTTATACATGTCTGGAGACTGATTTTTCAATACAGTATTTTAGCGAAATGGAATGAGGTGAAACACAAAAATTCTAATTTTAGATTGAATTCATGAGCTGCGTTTTGTTTTGCTCTAATTGACCGTTCGCAAAGACCCTTTAGTTACTTTTATGTCCAACAAGCCCACAGACAGTAAAATAAATGGACACAGGACCCCATAGACTGTATAGTGAAGTCAATTAGAAGCACTCACTTCCTGATGGCTGAGCGACTGAGCTGGACGACGGAGATGTGACGTGAGCAACCGCTCTGACAGCTGTAGGACTTCTAGTAGCGGTGCTGCCGAGAGCAATCTGAATCATTCCCTTCCGAATCTTGCAGAGCCAGAGAGCGCGAGCAGGAGCATATGGAAGCTTCTTTCCGCCACTGAATTAAAAATAAATGAATAAATAAATAAAAATCTTCATCTCACAATTGCGAGATATGAAGTCAGAATTGTGAGAAATAAAGTTGCAATTCTGTGAAATAAAGTCACAATTGTGAGAAAAAAAGAGAAATTGAGACTTTTTGTCTCACAATTGAGTTTACATCTCGTAATTCTGACATCTTTTCTCAGAATTGTGAGATATAAACTCGCAATTGCGACTTATCAGGCCAATTCTCAGGAAAAAAAGACTTAACTTTTTCCCCTCAGACTTTATATCGCTGACTTTATTCTGACTTTATATCTCGCAATTCTGACTTTATATCTCGCAATTCTGACTTTATATCTCGCAATTCTGACTTTATATCTCGCAATTCTGACTTTATATCTCGCAATTCTGACTTTATATCTCACAATTCTGACTTTATATCTCGCAATTCTGACTTTATATCTCGCAATTCTGACTTTATATCTCACAATTCTGACTTTATATCTTGCAATTCTAAAAAAATAAAGTCAGAATTGCGAGATGAAAAAGTCGCTATTACCTTTTTTATTTTTTAAAACAAGCTTCCATAGGAGCAACTTTTGGTAAATGTTCTGATGAATTAATGTCATTTTGCATAGTATTAGTTTATTTTAAAATTTAACGGCAGTACGCCATATTAATTTAATACATAAAATTAAGTTGTTGTGTAAAATGATATTGAAGAACTTGTGATATGAACTGATACCCAATAGGCATATGTAAGGAGATAACATACCAACAGGCTAATTATTGCTAAGTAAATGCTAGTTAATATTAGTAATTAAACTTAAAACCAGATCCAGACTCAAAACACTTTTGTTTAGCTATGCATTTACCGACAGAGCACTGTACCACTGTTCATCCGACTTACTGTATTTTATTTCATTATTTTTATTCTAAACCGTTTTAATTATTTACTGTATTTTATTTTTTTATTCTAAACTGTTTTAATTAATCTGATTATTGTCATTTCTATGTAAAGCAATTTGAATTACCATTGTGTATGAAATGTGCTACATAAATAAACTTGCCTTGCCTTTAACAGCTAATGTAAGTCAAATAAGTCACATTTATAATTTAACCACCCAAGAAACGCATATTTTAAATAAAATTTTAGCACAATGAAGAGAAATGGAGGAATCAGTCATATGAACAAGCTATCCAGTAAATCACTTTGGACAAAACCGTCTGGCCTGTTAAATAACTTATATATATATAACTAATTGTTGTCCACTTCATTTTTCTTTCCTCATAGGTTCAAATACTAACGTTTTATCTGCAGTAAAGCGTTGTTGGCCATGTAGCTATAATATAATTTAAATTAAAGTCAAATATGGAAAGCAACACATTGACTGTAAGACAGAATGAAATAATAAATGAACCTTGTGTAATACCTATATTGTAATATTATTTCAATGAACACATAACAGCAATTCATTTGTGTTTTATTTTATAGACTTTTCTGGACAAAAATAAATCAATCAACGGCCCGAGACAATTTACTTGTGTGTGTGTTAAATATGTTTACTGACAAAACAATGTTCTGATTGTGTTTGCTGTACGCAATTAACAGGTCCAGTGATTTGGATCATGGGGAAGAGAGGGCCAGAGAGACCACAGGGGCCCAGGGTCACTGGTTTGGACTGGTTTGGTTTGGAATGGTTAGAAAGTCCCTGGATGGCCTTGATGGAGGGTGTGAGGAAGCAGTGATGCGTCGGGCAGTTTTCCCAACACCACTAAAGGAAGCCTTGGTGTAAACAAGCAGCTTCTCTTTCAGATCATTGACAACTGAAGAGACAGAGACTTCACTTTCTGCTTCAGTCTTCTCACTCTCTGCTCTTGAAGCTTCAATTGTTTCTTGCAAGAAAGCAAGCAACTTTCAGCATCTGACAACTTCCTCTTTAGAGGACTGAGGGAATCTTTGAGTGTGTATGCTCCGTGATCGGCAGAATGGCTGCTGCCGGCTTCACCTATCTCGGCTGTCTGTGGTTCATAGTGAGTGCCACTGTTGTAATCATGGTCAAGACTGAAGTTCCTGCGTATATCAACTTTTGTGTCAAAGTCGTCCTCTCTAACCGTTGTGTTCTCACTGACGCTTACTCTGGTGTGCCTCACCTCGACCTTCACCTGGCAGTGGGGGTAGAAGATGGTCGGCACCGCGTCTGGTTTGAGTCTGTTTCGTTCCATGTCAGTGATGATGCAGTCCGGCGTGAAGTGAAGCGAGCAGAGGCGAGAATACTTGTTTGGTGTCCAGCCCTTTCTCTTGACATTGCGTATCCACTTCTGCAGCCTTTCTTTATCATTGAAGGGGAACCTGCAAAGAAATAAAGCATATCACATTGATTGTTCGAATTAAATAAATCAACTGCAGTGACAATGCACAAGCTGATCTGTCACTCACATCCAAACAAAACAATAAAATGTGGCTTTGTTGGCATAGGCCAATTAAAATTGGTAGAAAGCATTCAACTGGGCACTATAGGCTATTGTATTACACACACCAATATGAATGTGCATACAGACATGCACACACACTATATTCACAATTTTTTTTTTATTATAGCAGTCATTCACTTAAAATAAACCTGTTGTTGTGGCATGAGTACCCCGGTTTCTCTGCAGCTGATGATGAGGCCGAACCAGCAATTTTAATTAACATTTTATATATTCTCTATATTGACAAGGCCTTTTTGGATGTTGGTTTATAGCCTTTGTGAGCACTTGAGCTTAACTGAGAGTTTGTAGACGTTTAAGGCTGTTGTGTCGACCTTGATTTATTGCAATATTAAGGTGTTCAGCTTTATTTTGATTTGAGAAAAAGAACATGATTCCTCATCTTACAAATCTCTCAGCTGTCGAGGTCTACGTGCACCTTATTAACCTCATTCGTTATGACTAAAATACTTAAATACTGTTGAAAACAGATAGCCTACTCTAAGACTTTTACTCAAGTTGTATTGGAATTGGTGACTTTTTCTAGTGGATTATTTTTTTACTGTGAGGTATCTGTACTTTTAGTCAAGTATGGTTTTCGAGTAACGTTAGTCTTTACCCCTCTGTTAGGCCTATATGATTCAAATAATCGTAACCTTGCATTATACTGATGGAGACACTGGACTTACCTGAAAAAGCTTAATCCGGAAGAAGAGACTTGTCTTTTAGAACATTTGTATGCTACACAGCAAGACATGTTCGCAGAAAGGGAATAGTCCAGCACCCAGTAAGCGTATCTCCAATGCGGGCCGCCATTTGCTAGCAAGCCATCAAATGCTGTTAGCATCCCATTGACTCCAATTCATTTTGGCGTCACTTTGACAGTGAATAACTTTACATCTGAGGCGTTTTAAATTTCAATTTGTCCATTGTTTATTTCTAAAGAAACACGACAATGTATAAAAGTCTCAATTACCTTGTATCTTATGTTATGGTCCCGTAGAAGCCGTTTTTGTAAAAATAGGCTAACGATTGCGTCATAACCACGCGACTCTGTCGCACAGTAGTGCTAGCGAAATTACCGTGTAGAGAGGAGGAGAAGCTCGCAGGCAATCTTTTACCGTCTATGAGGCAATCGGGGGGACATATCCTTACTGTAAACCATAGGTTAACTGTATACTACTGTCTACTACACTGCAATGTGTCACTCATTTACTGTTACTGTTACACTAGCACTAATACCTGTCTATACTGTACTTTTTTTACACTTCTGGTTAGACACTAACTGCATTGAATTGTCTTTGTACTTGTAGGCTGCTCTACACATTTACAATAAAACTACATCTAGTCTAATCTGGCATCTCCTCAGTAAGCCATTGTATCGTGAAGTTCTGAAACATAAGTAATAAAAACACATGACATTTCTGTCAAAGTATGTCTACTTGAAGTGTCTACTGTGTGTTTCGATAATAAATATTGAATCATTTGGTTGATAAATATATTTTACTGTCTATGGGCGGATTATGACTGGTCACATCACCTGTCAATCAAACTATTTATTATTACAGCTCAGAGATGGCATGAATGCATTTACACTGCCATGAGATTAATGGGTTTCAATTGGGAATTAAAGAGATAGTTCACCCAAAACGATAACTCTGTCTTCACTTACTCTCTCGTGTTTTTAAACCTGTATGATTTTTTTTCTTCTATGGAACATAAAAGATTATTCGAGAAATGTCTCTGTATTTGTTCATAGCCTACTAAGTCGATGGTAAACACAACAGTTTGATTGCTTCAATATATCTTTTGTCTATATTTTAACAAATGTTATCCTTAACATTTAAATATGTATAGCCTAAAGTAAATTATATAGACACTATATAAATAAAACAAATGACAAAGATACTTAAGATTCATAGTTTTATTCTACCACACATCATTCAGGCATCAATATGCAGCAAACCTGAGAGGCGCTGGATCTGTTCGTTTGACCGAGATCTACACACACATTCCTCATCCTGTAACGTCCAGACACACACAGTCTGTCATAACACAACTTTCAAAGCGATACATACTCTTTTGTCATCAACAATAAGTTGAGGAGGTGAAATATGGAAATTATTAATAATTAATTTCAAATGGCTGATTTGTCATCTGTAAATGCATGTTTGTTGATAACCAAAACAAATCTTTTGCATGTAATAGACATTGTTACAAAAGCATCGTGAACATGAGACACATCACTGTGACCACCAGCGTCGTGGAAACATCAATGAATAGTCCTCAAGCATTATGGTTATTTCAGTAACGTGAGTAAAAAAAAAAAAAAAAAGTGTAGCAATGATTATGCAGGAATGTGTTTGATATAGATGACTCCATTTATTATCTGATGCAACACCAGGTTTCTGTGTTGGTTTCTACAGTCCTTTCATTTATCAGACTTGTTCACAAGAAAAAAAATGCCCCAAAAATAAAACCCTCTATTTAATATGTCAAATATGATTGACAGCTTGAACCAAACTGAGACAGATGAACAAGGCATTAGATTGATCGATGTAGTATCTCATCATCAAATAGTCTTCCCTTCAAAGATGCGACTGACACACTTTACCCCAACGCATATACGTGTATAATGTAGCCGAGTACAGTGTCGGTTGGTTCAATTAAAACATTCCATAATATAAAATCATTTCCTATGTCTACCCTGAAGTATGCAGTGAGATTGTAGATGCCTTTGACATGTTTAAGGCGGCTGTAAATGGGAATGTGGCACAGCCTTCTGCGGTTACAAACCTGATCGCTTACAGTTCAATGCAGATGGGGATCACACATAACTGCTCTCATTACACTGCATCTGTTGAACATGCCAACTATTTCACTCTTTGTACTTATTAAATATACATGACAAGATCATCACAATGAATAGACCATGCATTATTCAAAGTTGAATCGAGTACTGACGAACCCAATGGAGGCACAAATCTTTGGCTTTTTTATGATTTTAGACTAACAAAATGACTTTGGCATCTTTTTCCTTTTAATTCAAAGCCAATAACAGCCAGCATACTTTCAGTGGAAAAGTTTTACGTCGTGAGGTATTGATTGAGTATTGACGAACACGATTACAGCAATCTCTCATGATTGAACAAACCCTGCATTGTGACTGTCACAAAATCAAATGTAGCATACAACACAAATATACTTGACCAAAAATTTTTTTCCAAGACATACAACAATGTATACTTTAATACAAAATAAAAGTCCATGGTTTGGAATCCCATATTAAAAACCAATATAACAGTCAGTGTAATTTCTTCCACACTTGTTGTGAAGGCAGGCTGTTTAAAAGGTGCATGACGCAATGGTTAATATTGAAAGGCATGATCCTTGTGTCGGTCCCCCGGGCCGCTCATCCTCCTACACGTTTGTTAAGAATACACATTCAAAATTTATTAAGAAGTACAAAGAGTGAAACAAGATTAAAAACACCATCTGAGATAAAACTGCTGCACATGTAAACATCCTCTCTGGCACAGCGCTTCCAGCCTCTCTGAGCACAGTCCTATCAGAAGAACAGAGACGGACGCTCAGTTAGCGATCTTCTCGATTTCGTCCAAATCATCCGTGTCCAGCTTCTCGATTTTCTTATCTGTAGAAGACAGACAATTCAATTAACCCACATTCAGAACATGGCAGATCGACATATATGAACAGAATGGACCAAACGTTAAAGGGATACTCCACTTTTTTTATTATTTATTTTTAAAATATCCAAAAAAAAAAAAAAAAAATTATCAGCTGAGTTGATTCGAAAACGGTAAAACTCAACGGTTTAACTCTGGGGGAGTTGTAAAATGAGCCTATTTCCAAAAAAAAGTGGAGTATCCCTTTAAAGTGTCAGCATGCAAATTAATATGAACACAAACTTTTCTATTTTAATACGTTGTAAAATGCATTTTATTTCAGTGATTTTAAACTTATGGCTCAAAAGAACAGCATTTATTTAAAATACAAATCTTTCATAATACTATAAATGATCACTTGTGATCAATGTAATGCATCTAAATGTCCTTGCAAAACAGCTTGTAAAAAATGTAAATAAAAGTGTCAAACTGAGAATTGCAGCTCAATTTTGTTCATTGATACTATTATATTAATAATATTAAATTCTTAGGTTTCATAAAGAACATATTATGGATTTAACATTGGGTTATTAAGTGACTACCTTGTGTTATTGTGCATATCCTTTGAAAAGTACATATTATTATTATTATTGTTTATTATAACACCTTCATAACCATGACATGACATGCGTCTTGAATATGAAGTAGGGTTTATGCATGTTTGACAACTGTCATTAAGTGTCTTTTGCTCAATAATGACATTTTGAATGCAAATATGACATTGTTTAAGATGTCTTTGTCATGACATCTTTACATAAAGCAATACATCATAACCTGTCAGTGTCTTTGTCATGACAACTTGACATTAAATGAAGTTAATCTGTCATGTGGTTGGGTTTGACATTGGCTGTCATGAGGCATTATAACTGTCATGAATATTTTTCGTGACCTCAACTACAGTGGTACTAATTGAATGTCATTAAAAAGTTATAATGGCTTCATGACAGCCAATGTCAAAACCAACCACCTGACAGTTTAATGTAACGTTAACCAATAAAGCTAGGTGCTTTCTTAAGTTTGATCATTCATCTGCTATGTCATGTTTATGACAGGTTGTGTTGTCTTAGTAATGTCAAGTTGTCATGAGAAAGACGCTGACAGGTTATGATGTATTGGTTTATGTCAAGGTTTCATAAAGACATCTTAAACAATGTCATATTTGCATTAAAATGTCAATTAAGTGAATGACATTTAATATTCATAAAATGTCATGTCATGATTATGAAGGCGTCATGTTAGTCTTATGCACACCCCTTCAAGTAAAGTGTTACCAAGATTGCTTTGAGTCGTTAAATATGGGAAACGAAGGTTGAACTTACTGAAGTGCTCCTGGATGCGGTTGAGGATGTTCATGCTAAATCTGCTGTCCACCATGTTGATCGCCAACCCTCTCTTGCCGAACCTCCCCGTGCGCCCGATTCTGTGCAAATACGTCTCGTTGTCAGGGTTGCCATCCTTATCCACAGGCAGATCGAAGTTGATGACCACTGAAACTTGCTCCACATCAATACCTAGTAGAAAAAACATTTGCGGAAGCAGCAATTAGGCAAATCCGCTAAACCTGAACTAAGAGTCGGACACCTTAGTCGCGATGTAACAGGTAAAATGACATTCACCTCTAGCACAGACATTAGTGGTAACAAGGACTTTCTCCTTGCCGTCACGGAACCGCTCGATGACCGCTGCCCTCTGCTCCACCTGCATCTCTCCGCTGAGCAGCGCCACCTGGTGGCCTTCTCTGGACAGCTCTCCTGCCAGCCAGCCGGCCGTTTTCCTGGTCTGTGGTGGAAAAATCACAGCATTAAACTTAGAAATATGTATGCATTACTTTAGTTAGGCCAATAAAAGGTGATGAAAGGGATACTTCACCTCTGGAAAGATGAATGTGTATTTAAAATGGGTCATTTATGTAGAGGAAATGTGAAATTATGTTTGAATTTGGGGCTTTCTAGACTGAGAAAAGCGAGAAAATGTGTTTTTGGCTTATGTGGATGAAAAACAACAACTCCCAGAATGCACCTGCTTCACTTCCCTAGGAGGCCACGCCTACCGGTAACAGAGTAGCAGTAGTTGAACAACAAGTCTAGGCTACTAGTGAGTCTCTGTGATGAGTCTGCCTGAAAATGAAGATTTTCTTAGCAATGTTAAAACGCACATCAACCGATCACTTGTTTAGCGTTCATGTAAACACTACATTCAGATTCACCAATCGGAATGAATTCAGTTAGATTGAAACAAAAGCTGCGCATGTAAACAATGAATGGCGACTGCAGAAAGCAAAAGCTGAATCTCGGACATATCCGGGAAAAAGAGGACGGTCACCCCTACTACTCAGCTTTCTCCACAGAACAAGAGCCTGCTAGCTTAGCTTCCAAACAAAGATGGCCGACACTATGTGTTCATTCTGTGAGTGAGATCGCCCTCTATGGGCGGGATGAGGACATGCGGGACATGGATTTTTTCCAGACCAGGGTATATACAGTAATCCGTAAGTTAAATTTACTACTTTTTAATACCTTTTTTACTACCTTCAGATTTTTTTTTAAAACCATCACGACACTGAATTGCAAGTGTTAACCAGCGACCTTTCTATTACACAGATTTTGACATTTATAATGAATTGATTTAGAGCACGCATTCCATTTTTATGTTTAGTGGATTGCATTTGCGACCGAAGTGCATTAGCTCCCATTCAGCTGACATTGATGTTTTTTTACACACCAAACAATAGAGGGAATGCATTGACATCACTTTCCCGCCGGTACAACCCACCTCGACCTGACTGAGTGGCAAAAGATCTGCTGCGTGACTGGATTTAATAGGGGAAACTATTAAACGAAAATGCGACTAAAACTAACAATTTGATCAATTTAAACTAAATGTTGGACTCAATATAGTTGGACTCCTAACAACTTACTAAAGATCCAGTGATACATGGATATTGACATGCAGCCAGCAATCGTGTCGCCTGACATTTATGTTTGCCTGATTTCAATAAAAGGGAAATAAAAGCAATATATAGATCTACATGGGCTAAAGCAAATTTGCCTGTGAACGCTTTATATAAATACAATATAGGTAGGTCTAAATCCGGGTGATCACTTATATCAGGGTTATATAGCCTCTATATATCGTCATATCGTCCAGACAGAGATGAAAGATCTTTGATTGTGCCCAGATAAGCTAAAACCCATATTTATACGGACTAACGCAAACACAAAATAGGACACCTGATGGTCTGAAAAAAATACCTAATTTTTAAAAAATAATACCTCTCAGACTACATTCAACACTTTTAATGGCCTTAAATTTGACAATTTTGATTGATCACTTTTTAAAACCCCGCGGACACCCTGCAGACAAAAAAATACATAATTCTCTCGTCTCAGAGGGTTGAAAGCACGGTAATTCGAAAATACTACAGGTTTCCTACTAATACAAAGCTTAATGCTAAATCCTGAAGTATCCCTTTAAATAACTCCTAAATGAATGATATTGTACTTACGTGGCAGAAGATCATGGCCTGTGCGATAGTAATGGCTCCATAGATGTTGCACAAAGCCTGGAACTTCTCCTCCTTGCTGTTGCAGATGACGTAATATTGCTTGATGGTGTCCAGAGTCTCCTCCTCACGCTTCAGTTTAATAATGTTGGGGTCAGGAACGATCCTCTTCGCAAAGTTCCACACGGTTTCTTCAAATGTGGCCGAGAACAGGAGCATCTGGCAAGTTTTAGGAAGCATCCTATAAAAAAACAAGGGAATACTTAATGCAACTCAAAAGATGTTAACTCAATTAGTGCAATTTTTAAACACATTCTCTTAACCCAGTTTATTGTTGACTGATTAGTGTGCCATTCATTGGTTTTATCTTCCCTCAAAGTGAAAACAGACAGCATCTAAACATCGAGAGTTGGGGGCGTGGCGACTGTAGTGGGCGGAGCCAGAGGGTGTTTCGCTGGACGCAGTACATGTTGGGTATCAACAACCAAAAAGATAATACGCACGCATTTCGATTTCGCTTATTGGTTTCTGACTTTGGGACGTTCACATATCGTGGTTTTTGCGCATGCAAATTCATTATTTCAAAAGTAGGCACGCCTCGGCGAGACGAAACCACCTGACCAACTTTTCAAACCAACTTTGCAGAATGCCGCAAGCACACCGCAGGTCATGTGACAAAAACCCAACCGACCTTCCGTAACATGGAAAGTAGGGATGGGCAACGATTAATCGCATCCAAAATAAAAGTTTGTGTTTACATAATATATGCGTGTGTGGTGCGTATAATTAATTTGTATATATAAATACCCACACATGCATGTATATATTTAAGAAAAATGTGTTATTAATACATCAAATATTTATATTTATATATAATATTAATTGTGAATAAATATATGCACATATTTCTTAAATATATACATGCATATGTGGGTATTTATATATACAAATTAATTATACACACTAGACAAACATATATTATGTAAACACAAACTTTTATTTTGGGTGCGATTAATTGTTGCCCATCCCTAATGGAAAGCCGGGCCAAACAGCTAAACAAAGATGTACAGGGCGGGTTTATATTTCCATAAACATGTCCATGTATATGTCCATAAACCGATCTAGTAGTAAAGCTAATGCAAGGGCTAGAAATCTATCAGTCCTGCTGACACTTCCTCATCATCATCTTCATCATGGAGAGTTCTTCAGTTCATGGTTGCATGTGGAAAGTAGAAAGCAGCACGGCCATACTTCCCACGCGATGTGAACGGCCCCTTATTCAGGACAAACTGAGAATCTATTTGGTTATGTTTCGTTTAAAATGGACAACTACACAGAATAACATGTTCCAGTCTATTAAAAAAAAAACCCATTTGATTCAACTAATTCAGTGTCTCATTCATAAATACCCGTTTAATTAATGGATGATTCACCACTTTTGAATGGATCGAGTGTTCTTGTTCTTGATTCAATAAAAAATAAATAAATAAAATAGCGGTCGATTTTGGCCACTTACTGGAAAAATAATGTAATCAACACAATCTTTATTTGAAGAGACTCCTCTCACTTTTGCCATTTTATTGGTTATTGCTAAAAATGGGCAACAATAAACAGGTACTAATAGTATTTGCCCTGACAAACTAACACCTCAACCCTGCCTGGAAGTTTCTAGTGTGCCTAGGAAGACCTTGATTAACTGCTTCATGTGTGTTTAATTGGGGTTGGAGGGAGCTAAACTTTGTAGGACAGCGGCCCTCTAGGAGCAGGAGTGGACACCCCTGCTATACAGCATTGGGGTGTAACAATATATTGTGCCACAATGTAAAAATGCAACAATACGTATAGTGGATAGTGCCAATATGTATTGTGGATAGTCCCCCCCAAAATAAAAATTACTGTGCGAGAAAAAAAATTAAAGTTTTCAGAGTTTTAGGGTCAGTACTACATTAAACTACTACATATAATGTTGATTATAATGTATAATACTGCAATGGGGGAATATTTGTGGGTCCTGATAATGCCAAATTTTAGCCTGGCAAGCCAAACCAATCAAGATGTTAGGTCTGGGAACTATAGACACACCTGAATCCGAGGGGCGGGATAAAAGGTTGTCTTTCAATATCCATCTGCACGCAATAGGATAGCGACACAACCAACCAGAGCAATGAACGGCTGTGGATGAGCGAGTTCAATGCGTTTTCCCTCCAGCGGAACAAGTTGATATATTAAACTTTTGCTGTATCCGGTCCACATCTTCCTTTTTTAAGAATGACTGAAGTGACGTTCTCTTAACTCCAATTCATCCAGAGTCGTGGCCAAAGCCGAATCGAAAGACCGCTGTTCGCCAGCAGAATCTTGTTTGTTTTCAAGTAACAGTGAAATCACGGCGCAGAACCGTCACAAATCTACCGTGATTGTGTTAATCCCGCCCACCATCTCTATACACGATGTGATTGGCCTGACCAGAGTTTGGTTTTTCCACTTCGAAAGCCAACGGAGAGTTGCTAGACCACACTTTGCTGCAAAATGTTTTTGCTGCCACTAGGGTGCGTCTAGATTTCTAGGCTAGCCAAATGTCTGATGTGACCAGTAAAAAGTGGCCGACATTATTTTAAATATATCTAGTCAGTGAAAGCATATTAGGGCTGTCAATCTTTCTCTATAATACTATTCGATTCCATTCCTTATTTTATTTAGTATTCAAATAATATTTGAATATTAAAATGCTAAAATTTATCCGATTATTAATATTTACGACATTACACATGCTTATGGATCGCTAGTGCCACTATAGCATGTGGTTGTTACACGTTCGGTCCACTAGAGGGAATCGCTTCCAATGGTTTTCGGCTGATATCTCCGCGAAAACCACCAAAAATGAAAAAAACAAAACAAAAAACCAAACGTATTTTTTTAAGTTCGACTAGACTGTTCCAACAAGCTCGATGTGCACCGAATCCGTTGAGATATTTACGTTTTTTGCTTCACAGGCGCTTTTTACGTCACTAAACATTTAGGCCACCATTTTTGACAGTTGTTATGATACACCGTGGATAACGTGAACACTTGTGTTACGATACAAAACCTATTGTTCATCAGACGAAACAAAGGCATTTCATATTCACATGCGTGTAAGCCAAGGCACAATTGCATATAAAATAAAGCAATATTCGAACAGTAACTTCAGCATTCGAATAGTATTGTTTTTTTTAATATTCAAATTTCGTTCCAACAGGCCTAAAGCATATTCATCAACAATAACTCAGTAATTTTAGCTTCAGAATCATGAATATTGTTATTCTGGTGTCTCCATTGTCCTTGGGTTACAAGTCCAAGTCTATTCATTTAAACCAACACTGTAATATCAAAGTTAGCATTTTAATCAATTTTTGTTAACCTTTTACCAGATGTCTTGGAGTATCACAATATTTTGTCACATTTATTTATATTATTTATATCACATTTATTTATATTAATATTATCATATTGTGAGTTCAGTATCGTGATATGCTTCAAATCTTGACATGAGACTATATACAGCGTCACCATGCATCTATTCAGAACAAAATTTAATACACCCATTTACAGTGTTTACTTCGATGTGTCCAGTGTAGACAGCCTCAAACTGTTGTGACGCCTCATGTCAAAAAATGCTTATTATAAGAGAGATGCTCGTGTTCGCTCTTTACAGCGTTACTCACTCATGACACACAGCAACAACAAACTATTGCTAATATATTCGGCCTATTGAAAGCAGCCTGATGAGATGCGAGGTCTTCGGCCACTGTAGACATTCAGCAAACTATGAGGGAAATCACGTACCTCTGGATGCGAATGCTCTGGTCTTGATGGCCCTGTGTAGCGATCATGACATCAGCCTCGTCCAGCACAAACACCTTGATCTTCTTGGGGTCGATGAATTTAAGCTTTTGGCACCAGTCCAAAACAGTCCCCGGAGTGCCAATCACGACCTGTTCCTGTAGTCTTGTTCCCCGCTCCACTGGACCAAACCACACACACACAGCTCAATAACATGCAGTTGTACAGCGAGTCACACCACCAAAATATAATGCATAATCCGAAGTAATAAATATGTAATATCCTTTGCCGGTGACATCATGGACATCAAAAGCTGCATGATATTGGAAAAACTTGGCATTGATATTTTGTTTTTCTGCAATATTACGATCACAGGACTTTTCAGCAGATCAATAACTATTAGGGCTGGGTATTGACACAAATTTCACAATTCGATTCGATTTCGATTCACAAGCGTACAATTCGATTTCGATTCGATATTAATTATTTTGGATATCAGTAACAATAAATGGCAAATTTTCTCAAGGAAATCAAATCTCTTAACTAATGCTGTAAACTATGGGAGTCTAGTTGTAGCCTATAAACTTCATTAGCCTAATATGAAGGTAATAATGAACTGTTTTGTAGCTATACAAACACTTAAATTACACTTTTATTTATTTTTATAATAATGAGATTATGTGAAATATAAACATTTAAATGAGTTTATGTGGGTTTTCTGAGGTAAATATGACGATACATGACATTGATTACAAGCTGTTTAACTGACGTCTTTCCACGGTTGAAACGCTGATTGAGCGAATCAATGTGACATGATACGGATTTCTTTTAACACACTTTCAGATGCTCATTCATGTTTATTTGGCGCTGTAACTGGTATTATTGAGCCGGAAGAGAGATCAGCGCTGCTGCTTCTCCAGAGCGATCTCACGCCACATCGCCAAAACGCTATTTATGTTTTTGAATTTCTAAAGAAAATGGACGTAATTTGAAAAATGACTTTGTTTCATATCAATAGTAACAAAGGACAAAGATTATTGCGATCTTTTGGATGCGCGCAGCCGCGATACAATGTCCCATTTATTCAAATGAAACAGGATGACTAATCGATTCTTGAGATTTAAGAATCGATATCGGTTCGTAAAAATGAGAATCAATTAATATCGAGAAATCGATATTTACTACCCAGCCCTACTAACTATATTTGGAGAGAATTAATCATTCTAAAGTGAATAGGATTTTGTGGAGGAAAACATCCGCATACAACTTATTTAACGGAAATGTACTTTTGCACTGACGACTTTGATTGCAAAATTGTTGTAGGACTGAATGATTTGGGAAAAACTTGTTTATATTTGTGTTTGTTTTTACCAATAACCAACTAAAACCTCTTAAAGCAACCATAATGAACTTTTTCACTCTCGAGTTCATAGGCCACATTCCTGCCGTTTTATATAAATTCATTTTATTGAGATTGTTACATAAAAATATTAAACCAAATAAGAAACAATGTACTACTATTGTACTGTAAAAAAGAAAAGAAAAAAGTAGTCAAATTAAAACACAGTTATATTTACATCTTAATTTTATTTTCAAATGGATAACCATCAAGCTTTTATTTTGCCCCCTTGCCGGCAAACACACATTTTGCGCTCTTAGTTTCAGAATGAAGCGTCTGAAATGGGTAGAGCATCATTTTAATTCAATCGCAGCCTGCACGATTTGACAAGCACCCTAAACCATTTCACCGATTTTAAATATATATATAGAAACAGCCCTAAAAGGGGTCAACAACTAAAATTCTGAAAGTCAAGAAAATGAAAGAGTTATGAGGTAAACCTTTATTCCAAAATATAAAAGCACTCACATTTGTTTCCTCTGATGGCATACACTAGTTGGACTTCCGGGTAAAACTTCCCCATCTGCTCGATGACCTTGCCGGTCTGCAGAGCCAGCTCATACGTGGGAGACACACACAGACACTGGCCAAAGAGAGAGAGTCACTTTAACACTAAAGCTTTATTCTACATGCATTTCACCCACCGATTCTCACGCGTTGCACATACCTGAGGCCATTTGTTTTCAGGGTCCACGTGACTTAACATGGCCAGGACAAAGGCCGCCGTTTTCCCCGTGCCTGACTGAGACTGAGCGATGAGATTCTGTGGACTGGAGCGGGAGAAGGTGTGCGTTCAAACTCTGCTCTCGTTAGGATGAGGATGATGAAAATACGTTAAATACAGAACTTACGGTTCTGCGAGCATCATGGGTAAGGCGGTCTCCTGGATTTTGGAGGGCCTGTTGAAACCCATGGCGTACACTCCTTGCAACAGCTGAGGTTTTCTGGGAAACAAAGGAAAAAAAAAAAAAAAAAAAAAAAAAAGGTCAACACACACACCCACCAAAAGCGTAAACACTGCCATCTGAATGAACCCTGGTGTGCATCAAAAGAAAGCAGACCGAGTCCGAGAACAGAAAAGATGGTTCTCTGTCCGCTTCCTGTGGTTTGACAGAAAAATGATTGCAATGGATCAAAGAAACCAAAAACAGGACATGATGTCACAACATGTGACCCTAAAAAGGACTGTACACTCAAGCATACATGTTTTTCCAGCACAAATAAAAGCTTTTCAGCATACTTGTTTCTCATATTATGTTGCCCACAAGACACACACACCCTTAGCGAAGATCTGTGTTTCTCCAAGTATATCTTAGTTGATCAATAAAGGTGTAAAAACAGTCAAACTCACAATCGCAGCTCTTCGAACGACTTGACCGAGTACAGCGGAGAGTTCGGATCCCTCTGGAGGACTTCCACTTGATTGGTGGTGTTCACTAGATTACTGCGGATCAGTTTATTCAACAGTGACTGCGCTGCCTTGTCGTCTGCAATTCAGATCAGTTTTAGTCAACTCCCATGAGGAGAATATACACACACACTCAAACCAAACTGAACTTGGATATGAGAAGACAACAGTGACTATGTGATGATGCAGTCTATATCATAAATCACCTTTATCATCTTCCTCAGGTTTATTGTCGGTTCCTTCTGTCTTTGCTCCTTGTTAATAAAGGGAAGAAAAATCAACAACCTCATTCATCATTGAAATCCACGAGCTCGAAACACAATCTCACTTAGCAATGCATTCAAGTATTGAGGAACAGGCATTCTTACCATTTGCTTCAGCTTTCGGCTTGTCCTCTTTTTCATTTATTTGTAAGCTGCTTATCTGTTAATTAAAGTGAAATTACTTTTTACTATTGCATGCGTGCGTGTATTCACAGCTTTAAAATGGCATTATTACCAATTTGTCGAGGATATATGCAATACAAGTTACAGAAGAGCAACTAAAATATTAGTACAGTAATATTACATTATTATGATACAGTACATCACAAACAAACACACACGCACGCACGCACGCACGCAATTTGTTTAAAGCGCCCAAACTGATCTGAACCCAAGTTAGTAAGATTTGTGTTGTTACGGTCACAACAGCTTTAAAGTTGATTGATTACAAACACCTAAGTGAATTGTAGTTTTGTAAAATCTTTCATTAAATTATTCAGTTTCATTAATTATCGTGTTCAGTTTGAGGTTTCAACCCACCGATTCCGCAGCGGCTTCTTGTTCATCAACAGCCTGGGCCCACGAATCTGTTGCCATGTCCTTACTTGTGATTAAAACGTTTTTCCTTAAAATCGGGAGTCGATGATTTAACAGTGGACTGTTAAATCTAACGGTGCATAAATTATTAATAAAATTAAACGAAAAGGACTTGAATGCAACAAATTCATACAATGGCGTGTGGCGGTCCTTGCTTCTTATGGGCTCACACTCACACCTCCGGGCGGAAACAGGCTCGCGTGTACATGGTTCCTATTAAACGTTCCGCTGGCTGTACGGTTAAAATCACCATGAAATCAAAATGGTGAAATCAAAAGCAACAATCAAATGTTGCAGTTGGTTCAAAACTTTTAATGATTTATTGTGCTGTGTTTACTGGCACGAGGGCGGGGCAACCTGTCACTCAAATGATATCGACCAATAGCAAACCACAACCATCCAATTATTGTTTTTATTATAATGCATCAAACAATAAACAGATAAAAAAGACAGAACAGATATAACCTCGACAGAAAAGAAATCACATCAAATCGTCATGTAAAGTTTCACATAAAAAGAAAAGAAAAGTTTAAACACACACACACACACACACACACACACACACACAAAATCAACCTAAGATACTTGTTGATACTTTTTTGATACTTTTCTTGTTCGACAAACCATTTCACTCGAATACGTCACAATAAGAAAAGACTATCATGCTGACTTTAACTAAAATGCTTCTGTTTAAAACTGGACGTGTTGATTTGTATAGGCCTATCAAATATCAATATATTTTAGTCCACGCTCCTCCTCTCAGCACATTTATTGAATAGGTCTAAGGAAAGGCAAGTCGTTTTTAGCATTGACCAAACTTAAGCCTAAATTTTGTGTCTTTATGGAGGAATACATGTGGATCGATTAAACAAGTTCAGATTTACTTGGTTAAATGTTGATACATGACACATCATACGTTTCTGAAACCATTAACAGTATAAAAAATAAGATGGAGATTTTTTTAGTGTAGTAGTTTAATCAAACATTTGTCCTTTCGGGCTCCTCCTTCTCAAAGTCTCTTTATCCTGTTAAGTATAGTACATGTATAGTACATGAAAATCTATGATGAAAATGCCCATTTTGTTGTAATAAATGCTTTGGAATATAGACGTAAAATTAGTGTCATTTAAAAAAAAAAAGAGCAGATTTTTGTAGAAGCGAAATAAATTTAAAAAAGTGAAAGAGAAAGAAAAGTTATTGAAGTTTGAGTTTATGAAAATGTACAATGTAACAAATTGAATTATTCATATTTTATATAAAATATGTATTTAAAAAAAAAATCAAAGCAAAAAATCTGAACAAGTTGTGTTTCAAATTTTAGGTTGATATCTCAGTGAATGAGCTTTCAGTGAGTGTGTGTGTGCAGTACCGAACGCTTCCACTAGGGCACAACCAGACGCCATTACCGCCCATATAAGGGCGTCTCTGTTTCCATGTGTTTTGAGTGATATGAACTATTATTTCCACAATTTTCATACAATTTATGAAGTAGACATCCTATTCAGAGGTAACATGAGAAGTTTGGCAGATTTTGATATGAATTCAACCTCTAAGAAACGCATAAAAATAACAAGTATGCGCATTATAGCTTCCTGTAGTACATCACAAATGGTGAATCTATACTTTTTCTTTATATTTAAAAACATTCAGACCTTTTTTTCTAAAATAATTGAATGGACGCTATCTTTTGAACTCTTGGCATGGAAACAAACTGAAGTTTCTACCCTTCTTTCATAATTTTCATTGATCTTCATCAATATTTCAAAATAAAGGTCTGAACACGCCTTAGGAGTGTGAAAATATTCTTGTTGCAAATTGATAAATAACGGCTCCTCTGTATTTTGAAAAATTCACTATTTTAATATATTGTCTCTTTTAGGCTATATACAATGCAAAGACCTTCACACATCTTCTTTGCATATATGTAACAGAAATCTGTAGCCTACATTTACTGTTTGTTTTTCATTTTTTAAAGCACAGCATATTTGTTAAAACTCAGAAGTCTTTAAATCACAGAATGCTCTTTATATACAAGAGCAAGCTTTGACATGGGTAGTTCTCTGCGCTGCCTGTAGATGCTGCCCAACACTTCTGGAACACTCTCTCAGAATCACAGAATTGGCTGAAATCAGACATTATATATTTAAAAATGGGGGAAACCATCTATTGATCTGCTCTATCTCTTCTGTAGAGCAACTATAATATTTATTTATTTCTTTCTTTCTTTCTTTATTTATTTAAAAGGGACAATGCATATTGATAGACATCTTATCTTTTCAGCAATGTAAATATGCCAGAATTAGCCCCAGGGCTACTTTCCATCTGCAGTCCCCCGTCAGGTCATCACAAACAACACATAACAAAGCTCACATTTAAGTTTAAATAAGATGATACACAGTTTAAAGAACACGTTAGAATATCAAATCAAGTGATAAATGCTAATTATGTGTATTCATTCAGTCCATTTATTGTATTCACACATTTATTGTTGTAAATTATTTATATATAAAAATAAAATAAAAAAAAGGTTTTCCCAATATATTTAAGTTACTTAAAAATGTAAGATTACTCAAGTAAATAAATAGTACAGATTTCTAACTAGCATGGATCAGTGTTTTCTGACTCAATTTTAAAAATAGCAGGCTATTGTTTGATTTCTAGATCAAAATGTTATTATAAGCTCTCTTTTTGTTTTCTGTTTGATTCAGTGTTTCACTATCAAGATTGCTGGCCTGGCTCTCTTGTTAATTTAGTAAGGAATTGATTCTGGTTTGTTGTTGAACAGTGTCGCTCTTCTTGTGTCTGAAGATTACATCAGTTTGTGTTGAGAGGCATATTTTTCTTCCCAAAAGTATGAGGGAAAGAGGGAAAACCTATTCTTTTCATCTTTGCTATTCATAATGATGAACTTCGCAAGTGTCGTGGCAACTAAAGATACGAAATGCACCTTCACTACAGACAGATTCAGTTCACAAAAATTGTGTGTTCTCAGATTCAGTCAACTGAGACTGTCACGGATGTGTCGAAGCACATGACGAAAGGAATATCCACGGAAAGTCTTAATCGAAATCCAAGGAAACATGCTGGAGAATCACAAGGAGAAAAGATACACAACCACATAAACATCAATGATGCACATTCTAAGCCTCTGGGGGCCCTAAGCACAACTTTTAAGTTCATGAAAACCCAAAATGACCCTCAAGCCTATTTGGCTTGATAAATTCCCATTTATTTGTATAGCGCTTTTCACAATACATATTGTTTCAAAGCAGCTCTACAGAAAGTGCATTTACATAGAAAAATACAGTTTATCAATCACAGTCAACAAACAACAGTGAGTTGAAACAGTAATACAATAAAAATTAATTACAAACAATTGGACAAATACGATAGAAAAATACATTAAATAGACATAGATTCTTCCCTAATTACGAAAGTGATTTAGTGAAGAGCAGTTCATGATTCTCTTGTTTTCTTTAGTTGTTTGATTAACATAAATTGGGAGAAAGCAGAAGCTTTATTAGGCTGCTGTCACTTTAAGGCCGAAGGTTAACTTTAACTTTGTCACTTTAAGGCCGCTGCTGACGTAAGACGTGTCCACAGAACCGGAAGACAACACAGCTCTGCGTCGTAGTTTTTGTTATTTTTGGAGCAAAATGTATTTTCGATGCTTCAAAACATTGTAACTAACCCACTGATGTCACATGACTACTTTGATGATGTCTTTATTTCCTTTCTGGACAAGGACAGTATAAAATATCTTAATCTGTGTGTCCTGAAGATAAACGGAGGTCTGACGTGGGTTTGGGGCGACAGTCATTAATTACATTATTTAAATTTTTGGGTGAACTAATCCTTTAACTCCCTTTAGTATCGAGCAAGACGAGACTGAGTCCATGATTTGACTCTGACTGATTTGGAGGCGACAGCGCACAGCTTTGAATGCGATATAAAATGTTTTCAAAATCATTGTAAATCAATGAATCACACAGACTTTGGCATTAAAACATCTTTGAGAGCAAGGCGGCCCCCTGGTGGTTTGGGGGCACTATGCAGCTTGCGTACGTTGCCTATAGGGAGGATCGGCACTGGATTCAAAATCTCAGGGTTTATTAACTCCCATTAAAAAGCTTGAATATTTGTTTTTTATTTAACCCCTTAACTGTCACCCCCCCTTTTTGAGAATGGGGGTTAAATGCTCTATTCACACTTAAATGGTTGTAATTCAAGAATGCCTTGGAATATATACCCAAGTTTGGTCTTGTTTTAAAGAAAACACTCAGCAGATTATTGCTGAAGTGAAAACACTTCAAAAAATGAAAGTATGAAAAAGTTATGGAAGTTTTAATTCACAGTAAATCAAATATACTGTACTATATATTTTTTATTTTATATAAAATATATATTTTACAAAATATTTTTACTCTAAAATTACTATAAAATCAAAGCCATAAATCTAACCAAGTTATGTTCCAAATTTGAAGTTGATATCACAAAAATTGAAGTTCCCATGAGATTTTGTTTAGGCGTAGTACCAAAAATAGCCACCGGGTGCCATTGAATTCCATTGAATTTCATTGTGTACATTCTGCCTTAATAAATTAATAAATTTATGTCCAAAATATCAATTTCGTCACAAAATTTGGAACCTTGAGACTCAGACCTTTCTGACAATATGTGTTTTGTCAAGATTAGAAAAGGTTTTGATCATAAATTATGAAATACAAGGATGCCCAAAAGGGGAGGAGCCTCATAAAATAAGTACCGTTTCTATGGTAACGCAACGTTCAATTATGAAATGGTTTTCACAGGATGAATTCTGAGTTTATAAGCTTTCAAATGATACCTAATTTATGATAACTACTAAAATATGTGATATAATAAAAAAAGGCGATAAAAAATATTATTATATTTTAGAGGATAATATATACATATATATTATAATTTTTAGAGGATAATGTTATACTATAATTTTTATTTTTTTATTGAAAAATACTAGATTATATGTTTTATTATGAACTTTTAGCATAAAAACAGAAGTTTCAATGATTAAAAGTGGGTGCATCAACTTTTTGTGACAAAGGTCAGACCTCCTGTTATGATGCAGATTTTTTTAGGTGCACTCTTGTCATAAATTCATTAATTACTCTTCCTACATAATTTTTAACACAAAACAGGGGTCGAATATTTAATTAGAAGTCTTAGACCTTTCCAAAAATATATAATTTGTCATAATTAGATTAGGATTTAATAGAAATTTAGTGAAGTAAAGTTAGGCGTCCCGGTACCGGGAC